TTTCCCTAGAAAGCCACTTCATTATTTTTAATTCACGCTCCTCCCCACTGCACTGCATGGTTGGTGGGTGGCTGGCCTCCAATGGTAAATACGAATCTTTGTCTTTTGTTGCTCTGGTTGGGGTGATGAACCAGCTGGGCTGGTTCATCCCCAGGGACTCATGGAGCCAGTGGGATTCCAAAACTCTCTGGGGGACATTCCTTATGACCTTGTTTGCTATTCTGTCAATGGCCTGGTTGATCTGTGGAATAGCATGCTGGCTTTGGCTATAGACACAGTGGTACCAGGGCATTCATTCCCAACACTGTGGCAGCACAGGTCTCCCAAGTACACAGGGGAACTGAGGCAGCTTAAGGTGGAGGGAAGGCAGATGCAGCACAGTTGGCTCTTGACCTGTGCACAGCCAACAGACTGTGGCATAGATTTTTTCCTAAAGGACTATAGCATGACAAAGGCAGCAGCAAGGATGCTTTTCTTCTGTACTGCTACTGAGTCTGCAAAGTGTTGTCTGGAGAACTGTTTCAGATGGTGAATGGCTTGGTTAATCCAGCTCGTCTCTGTCCAGAAACTAAGCGTCTACTTCCATCTGCTGTGGTGAGTTTCCCATCTACCCTGCAGACAAAATCTGTATCCGGCACAGCTTGAAGACCTCCACTGTTGCTGCAGTCAGAATTTGGGGTTGGGGAAACCTGGCTGTGTGCCATTTATATACATTGTTTTAAATTGCTGTCATCTACTAGTGCAGAGGATGTTCTTGGATGGATGAGGGTGACCAGGTGTGAATGGGACCTGTACCTGTCCAGGCTTGTAAAAGCCAGATGGATATACAGGGGCAACTGATAGCAAGGGCTGTCAGTACCTCCATTCAGGAAGACTGGGCACTGGACACTCTTAAATCTACAATTGTCCAGTCCCTGCTTGAGAAACCATCGTTTGATGCTGACTTCCCATTCAGTTAGCAACCTATCTCCCCTTTTGGGGGGAATGTCATTGAATGGGTAGTAGCCTGACAGCAACATGTGTATCTGCATGCCATCTGTTTTCTGCACCCTTGTCATTCTGACTTTTGTCCTCGTCATAGCAAAGAGACTGCACTCATAGCCTTGGTCAATGATCTTCACCAGGAGAGTAACAGGGGAAAAAGTGCCCTACTGATCTTACTTGACCTTTCAGCATCCTTTGATACAGTTGACCTTGAGATGTTGATAAAGCATTTACATGATCACGTGGGTATCCACAGGGCAGCTCTAAATTTAGAGGTGTATCAATACATCAGTCCATATCATAATTGCACCGATAAAAGATAAATTGAAATTATCGGCAATCAGGGTTTTTTTGGCCAATGTGGCCAATAATGATCCCAAAAAATGCTGTGTGCATGCGAGCAGCCCGGCAGCTTGGAGAGCAGCGTCTGGCCGGGAAGTCTGTGGGGGGAAGGGACATGGGGGAGGCAAGGGGTGTGGCACAGGCAGATCAAGGCCCCTAAAGTGAGGGAGGGAGTGGGGCTGGGGCAGATGCTACCCAGCCGGGGAAGGTTGAGGCGCAGGACAGAGCCATAGACGGCTCATCCAGGGGCCACAGGGGAGGGGGGAAGAATGGGGAAGGGGATGTTGGAGG